CCCCCCCCCCCCCCCCCTCAAGTGTTGTCATTTATTCTAACATTATGAATATAAGAAAAAAATTCAAAGATTATATTATATAACTATATTTTAAAAAATAACATCTAATCGGTCCATTGGTCACGACCAAAACTCAATGGACCGGACCAGACGAGACTGAAGACTAAATAAGGAAAAATTGAGGATCAAAGACCGGGCCAGAAAGGAACCAGTCCAGTCCAGTGTTGAACGGGTTTTGACTCGGTCCAGATCTAGATCGAATAATGCACACTCCTAAATGTGGCCCTGCCAATAGCACCCTAAATTTTGTTATCTTTGGTGTCAAATTACACTTGCGCTATGGAATTTGTAATGTTGTTGAACGAGAGTCTGCTTCACACCACTCAACTAATTAAAAGCATCTATAATTTTCGTCCAATCTAAGTAAATCCAACTGTATAAAACAGGTGATGATGGTAGAATTAGCAACAAACAACACATTCAGATTTTGGTCGGAAATACAATATTTTTTGAGCTGCGTATATGTGTATATTCAATCCGTTCCAAATTAAATATTTTTCATTTACTCATTTTCTTTTTTTACAGTATTTAAGAAAAGATAAAATTATATGACCGAGATCGCAAAAGAAAGAGAAATAACATGGACGTTAAGACGGCATAGAAGCAGAGTTAAACAAACAAATATGGCTTGTTACCCATCCCAGACTTCGGAGACCATTTGGAAGTGACAAGGGAGGTCAAAACAAGCTGGTCACGGTTCCAAAATAGGACCCGTGTCCTACGAGCAAGGGGCTAACAACATCCAATGTCACTGCACTGGTTCATACTATATAATGCCCCACATTTACACATTAGAATTTGGGTATTTACAAATTCAAGCCATCTTTTTCCCACCACAACTTCACTAAGTTGTTTACAATGAACAAGAAAAGTGAGAACAACTCTCGATGTATTTTATGGATTTCGTTCCTGGCTTGGAATCCATTTGTTCCACCATGACTGTTTCCTTCTCTGTTTGGTGTCACCACTACTTGCACTACTTGTCCCAACGATCTTTTTCTGAGGCCGAAGTGGCGATGCAAGCACATTTCTTTGTGCACTCGACTTCATCTCAGGCACTGTTTCCTGCAAAACACAGAAAATGAAATAAAAGAACGATTTTCCAAGCTTCAAACATCGCAATCATCACAACTTGGATACAAACTACTGTGTCTGTTCTCTACCATTTATTCTTATTACAAGTTATTGATATTACTTACTCCCTTCGTCTCAAATTAAATTTCCCACTTGCTTTTTCACGGAGTTTAAGAAAAACTGAAATTAATTGATTGAGGTTGATGTAGATGAAAGGTAATTGTTGTGGATCACCCCTTTCATTATTTAATAGGAATGTGAACTTTATTTTGGGACAAATAAAAAAGTAAAGTGAAACTTATTTTGGGACAAAGTGAGTTGTTTTTTTTTTTGAGGAAAGGACGAAGGGGGTATTACTTGTTCTTATTGGAATTAGATCATAAAACCAACCAGACCAGATGAGAAACATATACAATTTTAACTTTAATTGGAACCAGATCAAACCAAACCAAAAAGATCCAGATGAGATCAGATCTTAATAAATTCAAATCAGAACTGTTGGGATCATACAAAGAGAACAAGCTCATCGACATTGGGGCTCAGTAGCATGAAATTATAATGTTAATCGTATAATGGTTCGTTTTGGAATTTGAATTTGGATTTCAAATCTGGATTTAATCCAAATTACTTGTTTGGGAACTCAAAGAATTTGGATTTGGATTTAGACCAAATTTTTCTGATTCAAAATTAAGCCAATTACAAATCCACACCTCTCCCCATTTCATTTTTAAATTCAAGCTCAACTTCTCTTTAATTTATAACTTGTAATTAACAAGTAACCTCCTCTTATGCAACAACAATTCCATACATGTCAACCGGCTTCCATTACTGTCTTTGCCGACTTCAAAATTCAAATTTTAGAAATAAAATTCTATGACTTCCCAAACAACATTTGGAATTTGAAATTATGAGATATCAAATATTGGAATTGAAATCTAAGATTTCAAATGATTTCCAGTTCCCAAACACTACCTAACATTATTCAACACTATAACACTCATAAGAGTCCCTAGAGACGGCAGAGTAGGTCTATTTGGCTCTTTAGGGAGTTTGTTAGTTTGAATGTTGCATGGGTCTACGGGTGCATGTTTTTCTAACTCAAAATAAAGGTTACTCTTTGTCACAAGCCTTCCTAGAAATACCCTCTACTCTGTAGAGTAGGGGTAGGATCTATATACATCTACCCCCCCAGACCCTACTCTTGAGGGGGTAAACGTAATTTGGTTTGGGGTAGTATAAAGTCGAGCAAAAGTACAATATCAATTTTTGACCCAAAAAACAGAAAAAATAAATAACGTACCCTGAGCTCCTGCAGTTGAGCTTCGGTAAAGCCTCCGAATTGTTGGGTTCCAGACTTTGCCATTAGTTGAATAGCCCACTTGGCAGCTTCGCTGTAATCCTGCTGTGTGAGTCTAAAGAACTGGAGCTTTATGTTCTGAATGAAGGACAATGCCAGAAGGCCTTCCCTGTCAAAATAAGGATGGGCCAGGGCAGCCTTTGCGCTGATTCTTTGGCGCGGTTTATAGCGAACCATTGATGTTAATAACTCCCATCCTATCCCACCATCAACGTCTAACAACTCAAATCCCTTCCGCAGTTCTGGGCCCGCACGAGGCTCTGCTGTCCTTCTCCATGACACTAAATCATTCTCACATCTCTTAAGCTGGCGGTTGAACTGTATGAGACCACTGTCGCTCCGTAGCCCTGGAAATGCCTGCTTAAAAGGCATACTATCACACTGGTGAAATTACATTTTACTCCATCCGTCCCAATCAGTTTGTCCACTTTTCTTCTTTGGGTTGTCCTAATCAGTTTGTCCTTTTCAATATATGGTAAAGAAATGCATACTGAAATTACTATTTTACCCTTGCTTTTTCAAACTTAATGCTCCTACCTTATTCAATCAAGGCCAATTTGGTCTTTTTATTCCCCCTCATTGGTCCTTGTGCCAAAAGCGAAGTGGAAAAAGTGATCGGGACGGGAGTATTTTTGTTTTTTTGGGTTTCCATTAAAATTCAAGTAAAACGTGAAGTTTTCACCCAAACAAGATGTGTGCATCTGGGCTTATGTGTGTAATAGCTTGTAATGAAGAATTTTATGCTTACCATTTGTAGGAATATGAGACCGGCACTGTAGATGTCAAATCTATCAGGTAGATTCAACTGTTTCAAAATAATCAGCAATCACGGAGTCAAAATGTGTTTTAATTTCAACAACAAATAGAGCCTCTCAGTTGCCAAACCTGCCACAGAACCGGAGAGAGTGCAGCTGCTACAGGAACAGAGGGTGCAGACGGGGTTTGCGTGCTCATGATGCACTGTTCAGGTGCAGCATATCTGGAGGCCAGAAGGGAAACTCCAGTGCATAAAAATGTCAACCTCCGGTGTGTGTGTGTGTGTGTGTATTATCCTCACACAAGTCATGGAACATTTCTACGGACCACAAATTGAATTTCTAGGGGTAATAAGTTTCAGACTTTCAACTTTCGAAAAAATATACCCTTCATTCATGTTACATTACTTGCTTTAACTTATTTTTGGTGGTTCAGTACTTCTCAGTTCAAGTTTACCATTGTTTCACCAAAGGCTAAAATAAGATCCAATGCAAATCCCTCCCCCTCGCCCTTCATTCCTAATAGTATTTGCAAGAGTGTACAACTGTACAACCTCACACCTCCCACCCCATTTTTCTATCTTTAGGCTCTAATAAGTTACCTTGGATCTAAAAGAAACTCTTTTGGGATATAGTTAATGCCCACTCTTAGATCTGCTGCAGCTCCAAGATCAATAATTTTGAACGTGCGGGATCCTGCTACAATTAGTCAACATCAATTTTTCATACTCATAGATGAGAACTTCTATTGAAATTAACATAAGACAATACCTTCGGAGAAAATAATATTTTGAGGCTTAATATCTCGATGTACAATGCCGGTAGAGTGAAGACCATCTAATGCAAATAACAGTTGTCTCATTATTGTTTGAATGATCCGATTTTCCCTTTCCAGTCCCTTAGGAATGTTCCTATTATTTCCAAGAATCTTTGCTTCAACCTGAAAATTGAGACCATCAAGATATGGAAATACCACTGCCATAAACTGAATAATGGTTTAACACAAAAGATGATGATTTCACTTGAAGCCAGAGAGTTATCATAGTAAATCTCAGAGCAACTGTCTTTCAATGTTAGAGTAAACCCCCTTACAAGACATAGCATGATAATATATTACACTCCCATTTTCTTCCAAATATTTTTCCATGAAGTCCTTAAAGAAGTAGCAGTTAGTCAAGCAGTTAGTCAAGCAAATATTCTTCCATATATTCCACTTCCAAATATATTACCCGGCTTTGGGGTGTGATGGAATAAATCAAAATGGATCTCTAAACTATCTGCGCTTCTCTAATTAATGAAGTAGCAGTTAGTCAAGCAATGCAACTTTCGACGTTGAGCCGGGGGTCTCTTTGGAAACAGCCTCTCTACTTTCGAGTAGGGGCAAGGTCTGCGTACACACACCCTCCCCAGACCCTACTCTTGTGGGATTTAACTGGGTTGTTGTTGTTGTTGTTGTTGTTGTTGTTGNCTGTTTTTCAATGTTAGAGTAAACCCCCTTACAAGACATAGCATGATAATATATTACACTCCCCATTTTCTTCCAAATATTTTTCCATGAAGTCCTTAAAGAAGTAGCAGTTAGTCAAGCAGTTAGTCAAGCAAATATTCTTCCATATATTCCACTTCCAAATATATTACCCGGCTTTGGGGTGTGATGGAATAAATCAAAATGGATCTCTAAACTATCTGCGCTTCTCTAATTAATGAAGTAGCAGTTAGTCAAGCAATGCAACTTTCGACGTTGAGCCGGGGGTCTCTTTGGAAACAGCCTCTCTACTTTCGAGTAGGGGCAAGGTCTGCGTACACACACCCTCCCCAGACCCTACTCTTGTGGGATTTAACTGGGTTGTTGTTGTTGTTGTTGTTGTTGTTGTTGTTGAAGTCCTTAAAGAGCTAAGGGATATAGTTAGTGCCCACAATTATGAACACTGAAAGATACTCTGTTGAAGAGAATTGTTACTCCAGGAGTTCGGGATCTCCATAAGAGTCTGAAGTTTTTTCCTCCTTCGAATAATATTTGGCAGTTAGTCTTTTCGTCCAGTGTGTGATGCATCATCGCCCATTGACAAATAGACAAGTTCATCAACCCAGAGATGTAACAAAATTATTCTCATTGTTTACATAAGCAACCATTTCCACAGGATCGCTGACCACACATGCACGCGTGTGTCATCAGTTTTGTTGGTAAGTAGTAAATTCAGCGATATGACTATCATGGACATTAAGCATGTCAATTCAATGGAGTTCCAACCCACATTGGATATCAGAACTGGTTAATGTATACATATGTTTCGTTGGATCACAATCCTTAAAATCTAAATATATTAACTGTTTTTTGGGGGGGTATGTTTGGATCATATAAAATTCTAAGGAAGCGGAAAAATGTCTCAAGGAATGATTTACTCAAAGGTTGACTTTTATCATGGAAAATGAAGAGGATTATGTAATGTGATTAATCATTTTTAAATTTTACACATATTTCTAAATACAGTAAATAAAATGAGTTAGAACAAATATCTAAAACATGCACTTTATTGCTTCCATTGTCAATGAAGCTGAAAGAGTCATCTTTTATAATGTTTTAGCTTTGGGAAAATGATGGACTTAATCAAAATGGCACTTTAAACTTCCATTGCTTCCTACTTTCTATGAAGCTTGGGCAGTAAACGAAGCAATGCATCGAGTGTCTCAAGGAAACGACCTCTTGGTTTTTACATGGTAAGAATTGAGCCCCCCCCCCCCCACAC